GACCACAACTCCTCTTCAGTGCTCACAATCGATGCCAATGTCGTCACTGACGGCGCAGACAATCAAATGGAGGCAACGCTTCCCATAAACGCCACCACAGATGACACCGAAGACGACAATCGCGCCGCACATCTGACACAAGTCGACCAATCGGTGCAACAGTTGTCCGCCGAGGGTCTCGAAGACGCGGACACCGGCAACGGTTCCGCTCAAAGTATACCTCAATTGAACAATACTAGTGTCCCGACAGAGACCAAAGTGAACTGCACTCCAGTCAACATCAATGTCACCGCCGATGCCGTTGATAATCAGGTCAGTGCTCGATATCTGTCTCCCATTTGATCCATACATTTGTTGCGATTGTGGAACCATTGGAAGTGATTGCAGTGTTTTGTTGGCGCTTCTGTGCTTCGGATGCACCGCTACTCTGAATGAATGTCTCGTATGTTTTGGTGTGTTTTGCCAATTGATCTAAACATGATTTGATGGTTTGAATGAGTGATGCCTTTAACTTGATTTGAGTGATACTGAAAGTGTTGGCCTTTGATTGGCGGCCACTTTACATAACTTTTATGTTAACATTAATTGATACCAATGTCTATGTGATTGAGTTTTATCACAAAATGGTCTCAAATAAGTTATAAATGGGTTATAATTAGCGGTAAATGAAGGGATAGTTTTATCGGAGCATTCATTTGATGATTGAATTGAAAGTTACAAAAAATACATGTGTTGTTAGATATCAATCAAATAAGCACTTTATTTAACCAATGAATTAATTAAATGACTTTTGTTTGAAAACACATAATATTAATATGAAATATAGTTTAATTGAATTGTCGTATAATTGACTTGATTTTCACTTTCAATTATCATAAACTGATTTTATATACAAATATAGATTTCTTTTTGATATAAATATAGTATTTTTATAATTAATTCTAAAAACTATTACTATTTTGTTTCGTAAATAATGACTAAAATATAACATTTTCATCGCTTATCCAAAAATACAGCAAAAAGTCAATTGAAAACAAAACATAATTTCAAATTAAATTCCTATTAATAATCTCTAACTTTTCAAAACAATAATAATTTTGATAATAATATAAACGATTGATTCATTCACATAATCCTCTGCTAACCATAACAAACATAATAAATCCATAACTAATCTCAACAATAAAATAGTAATAATTAATACAATTAAAAATTGAGCTCATTTTCTGTTAATGTACTGTATATTCGTGTGACAAATATATAACTTATGACTTAAATAATTAATTAACAATAGTTTGCCATAACTTCTTCGTAAATGTGAACTAAAAAATTGAGAAAATAGTTATATAATTATCAAAAAACGTATTAAAAACAAAAGTAAACCGTAAAACATATTGAATGAAAATCAAGTCATTTGTATCGATAATAAAACAGTGTTTGGTATTTGTTTGTCGTGGAAAATGTTTGGCAGACCTCTAGGCCTTAACAGTGAAAAATATTTGTAGTTTTTGTATCATTTTGTGTGTGTTTTGTAGTGAAAAATTACAAAAATGCTGTAATTTCTTACAATATATATAATGTATGATTAGAGCAAAACGCGAGAGACTTATAATTAAAATATGCTTTTGTTTCATAAAATATATCCAATTTTTTTGAGGCAATATTCACTTCGAAAACGTTATGTTATTCGCGATATATTTTTAATGTTTAGTTAATAGTAATAATTAGTTGATAGGGTTTTGACTCAATGAGTATATACTTAACGATCAAAGATAACTAAAAATTGATTGCAAATACATTTGCAGATTCAATGAGTGGCACATATAATAGAACTGATTTCAATGGGGTTTGAATATAACGATTAAAATCATTGATTTTGTATTGAATAGTAATGGAAGCATAGAATCCAAAACATGGGATGAGTGTAGTCTTGTTGTTGTTGTGGGAAATGTGGGATAACATGTTGGGGTTTGTCGTACACATTGTTATATTAGATTCAATGGCAGATATCCATGGATTGCGGAGAATAGGCCTCATTCTTAATGCTGAGAGAGGCGGCCGATAGGATGGGGTCGTGTCTGAGTTCATTGAATTGAAAGTAGTGTTGAGCGGGAGAGGCGCCGGACGGCAGCGACGACCCCAGGCCTGAGCTCGACTGACTGGGAGAGACGGGCGACAGCGGAGCCGCAAACTCTTGCTTTATAATACGCTGCAGACTCTGCGCGGCGGCCATTGTGTCCGCATCTGTGAGCGGAAGCGATGCCGGAGCCGACAAGAATGGGTCGCTCTTTGATAAATCATTGCCATTGTTTAGACCATTGTTTAGGCCATTGTCTCCATTCACTGGTTTTCGGTTTGAGTTCATCTGTCATTATAAATGCATTTTTAATTTTGTTGCATAAAAATGGTATCAATTATAATAGTGCTAACCATTTGAGGCCAGTTTGAGGTCTGTTGCTGTTGTTGCTGCTGCTGCTGATGTGGTGGTTGTGGTGATGATCCCACTCTGACCTGCAATTCTTGGAACTGCATTTGAAGAGACCTGTAGTTGTTCTCCATCTCCTTATAACGCCTCTCTTCAGTGGCGAGTCTCATGTTCTCTCTCTTGAGGAGTCGCACGTAATCGACGGATGCCTTGAGAATTGTGCCCTTATTTTGCTTCATGTCTTTGACGAGATCGAAGTGTTTTGTGTCTTCATTTTTGGGCAAAAGAGTTCCCAATTCTTTGATCCGATCGTTGATATTATATCGGCGACGCCTCTCGATCTGATTGTGGTTATCCTTCTTCTGCCTATCCTTCTGCCACGCCTTCATCTCCTGTTCGGTGAGCTGTGGACACGAAGACGACGACATGTCACCCGTGGGTGTCATCGGCTGGTTATCCAGAAAGTAGTTGATATCAGCGGGTAATGTGGCGGCAATGGCTCCGACCAACTCCTCGTCCATTTGGGAGACATCCGCGCGATTGTCGAAACCTCCCAACACGTCGAACACGTCGTCCAACTCGGACGTAGAGCAGGCAGAACTCGGCGGCGCCGACAGCGGACTGTCCGGACTCAACGGGAAGGGTGACTGCGGGGCACCCGTCGAGCCCAACGCACTCGACGACAACGAATGACCAGTGTTTGTGTGGTGCGAGTGATCAGTGTTGGTGTGGTTTGTGTGATGAGGTGGAAGGCAATTGGGGGACAACTGTGTGGGCACATTGGGCACAGACTGCGAATGAAACGGATGATGGCTTTGATGGAGCGGTGAGTGTGGACTCAGCTGTTGTGGTGATATCTTCTGCTGTGTCTGTAAAACGTGATAATTTGTCGGATTTTCTAACGATGGCCTCATTTGATGGTTTTGTTGTACTTTTTGGAACAGTTGATGGGAATTCATCATCGATGGAAACATGAGTGATTGTGCGCCCGAATGCTGGGGCTGTAGAGCACCGGTATGTGGCTGTGGAACCGATTGGGACATAGCCTGTAATGATTGGCTCAATCGCGCCGACTGGTCGTGCGATGAGCATTGCTTTTCCCGCAGCTCTTGTTGGATGAGCTGCTGTTTCATCAACTGTTGCTTCAGATTCGTGCGCGACATCTCTTCACCCAATGTTAATCCAATCACTTAATCGGATCCGCAATTGTAAGACAACAAC